GGGCTCTGGGGTGGGATGTCACAGGCGAGTTCTGGACAGTGATCCTCGCCTTTCGGGGGCTGCAGGGGCTGCCAGGCACCGCCCCTCCCATCACATCCCTTATCTTGCACATTCTGCTGGCACTCCTGACTTGCCCTCAGCAAGGCCAGTGTCCCTTCTCATTTTCCTCCTGCTATTCCGCCAGCTCGCTTGTTCCCTCCATCTCCGGCCCTCAGGGCCTGCATCCACCCTCCCACCTCCCTCCTTACTTCCCCTCATCCAGCCTCCATACATAGCTGGTTCTGATGGTTGCTTCCCTGGACACCCTCAACCTTCTTTCCCTCACTGGTGACATCCAGCCAGCTGGAGGATGTGTCCTGCTTAGGCTGCTCCCTGAACCGTGCCCACCTGCTCTGGCTCCCAGGATGCCCAGCCACTCACTGCTGCTCCTCGCCTGCCTTCGCTGTACCCTCCGCCCCCGTGGAGAGCGCTGTCCCCATGCGGATGCTGGTGCTGAGGCCCCTCTCCCTGGCAGAAGCCCTTGCTCCAGTGTCTGCCCTCCGGGGCCCTTTCCACCGGCACTGCAGCCCCTGGCGGCCTGGTCTCTAGCAGGAGTGTGGCAGGTCCCTCTGCCTTCAGTCCCCACCTCCCGTTTCCTCAGGTTTCAGGCCTCTAGGCCTCTTCTGCCTGCAGAGCCAGGCTCTCTGCTCAGGGACAGGCTCTTTGTCCACTTCGGGTCCCAGCAGCCCTTGGTTCCCCACCCCCAGGCTGATTCCCTTCCCTGACCTTGAGGCTGGGGGCCCCACCCAGGTGGCTTTGCTCTTGGCAAGCCTCATGCCCCTGGCCAGGCTGAGGGGGCCCTTAGGTCTGAGCCCCGAGTCTCGCCCAGGGTCCTCACCTCTGAATCCGCCTCCTCCTGCTCAGGCCAAGGCCATCGGCCCTGCGGCTTGTGCTGACTCCTGGCCATCTTGGTGACTCCCATCAGCCTTGCCTTCAGAATGCGTCCAGCTTCTGAGCCCACGCTGCCCCTGCCACCATCTCCCCATGCCAGCAGGCTGGCCGGCGCCCTCTCCCTGTTTTCAGCATGTCCTACATCAGCCTGCCTGGCTTCTGACCCTTCCGTCCCGCCCTCAGGACTATGGCCCCAGAGTCAACTTTCGGAAACAGAAGTTAAAGATGGCGGGCTTCTGCGGCCTCCCAAGCTTCAGCCGTGAGGTGGTGCGGAGGATGGGGCTGTACCCCGGGCTGGAGGGTTTCCAGCCCGTTGAGCAGTGCAACCTGGACTACTGCCCCGAGCGGGGCTCCGCCATCGACCCCCACCTGGACGACGCCTGGCTGTGGGGGGAGCGGCTGGTGAGCCTCAACCTCCTGTCCCCCACCGTGGTGTCCATGCACCGGGAGGCACCTGGCAGCCTGCTACTCTGCGCGGCCCCCTCTGCTGAGGCCCTCGGGGACAGCGTGATCGCCCCCAGCAGGTCCGTCCCGTGCCAGGAGGTGGAGGTGGCCATCCCCGTACCCTGCCGGTCCCTGCTGGTGCTCGCTGGGGCCGCACGCCACCAGTGGACACACGCCATCCACCGCAGGCACATCGAGGCCCGCCGCGTCTGCGCCACCTTCAGGGAGCTGTCAGCCGAGTTTGGCCCCGGGGGCGCGCAGCAGGACCTGGGCCGAGAGCTCCTGCAAATGGCACTCTCCTTCCAAGGCAGGCCCGTGTGAGCTGCGTCCTGGGACAGGAGCCCGAGCAGGGCCTGGCCAGAGTCCAGCCCCAGCACTGACCACGGCCAGGGACTGAAGTGGGAGCCTGTGTCGGGGCTCCTTTTCTGTGTGTGTGGTGCTGGGGACTGAAACCAAGGGTGGTTTACCACTGAGCTATGGCCAGGCCCTTTTTAATTTTTTATTTTGAGACACAGTCTTGCTAAGTTGCCAGGGCTGGCCTTGAACTTGGCAGTCTGCCTCAGCCTCCAAGTAGCTGAGATTATTGCTGTGCACTACTGCACCCAACTCCCTTCACTAAGGTATTTTTTTTTTTGCTGTGGATGTGGCCCGGGGGGTTTTTCCCCTGTGCGCCATCTCCCGCGCTCTCTATTTTTATTTTTTTTTTGAGAGGGCCTCACTAAGTTGATGAGGCTGGCTTTGAACTTGGAATCCTCCTGCCTCAGCCTCCTGAGTCACTGGGATTACAAGCGTGCACCTCCATTCCTGGCCCCCATTAGGTTTTGAGAGAAGCCATCTGACCTGATCCCGTTGTCATGGGCAGCATGTGCCTTAGGTCCTGCCCAGCTGCTAGTTTTCTTTGTAGCACTGGGGATGGAACCCAGGGCCTGGCACGTGCTAGGCAAGCACTCTACCATTGAGCCACAGCCTTCTTTAATATTGAGATAACCTCTAAGTTACCCAGTTTGGCCTCGAACATGTGATCCTCCTACCTCAGCCTCTAGCATATGGGGAGCTGCTTTTGATGGGACAGAGCCTGAGGTCTCCCCTGTGCCTGCACTGTGGCCACCGTTTGGGTTGACTTGTCAACAGTTTGGTGTAAAATGTTTTCTTATCTGTTCCTCTGAATGAATTTTCCAGACACCCTGCCATCTAGCCCTTCTGTTGGGGGCATGTTGGACTGGAGAGTCACTGGTGGTAGATCTGAAGTTCACAAGGTGGCAGCAACTTCTGAGTTGGGCCCAGCTTGGGTCATGCTGACCCCCTGAGGTGGGGGCTTGGGCAGGGACATCTGAAAGCCTGCCCCCTCCCACATCCTCACATTGGGATTTAAAAGGTAGGGGCCCTCACCCCCCGGGATGCCTCGAGGTTGTGCCCTTGGTGGCGTCACTGTGTGGGTGCCCACCTGCATAGGGCAGCTGCCCCATTCGCCCATGACTGAGGGGGTGGCGGTGTTCCCACACCCATATGGCAGCCCCCTCCCTCGTCTTGGCTTATGGCTATGTGATGGGAGCCACCTTAGAGGAACAGGGACGCATCACCTCCCAGGAAAAGGGACCGGCACTACCTCTAGGGTCATCCAGAACAGCTGAGTCGGCAGGTGCTGTCTGTGAAGCAGTGTCCAGCTGCTGAGCTGCTGCCAAACCAGGGGAACCCTGCAGCGACCCAGGAGGCTTCCCAGTGCCCAGCAGCTGGAGTTGGCTCCTGGCCCCCGTGGCTGCCACCCCTGTCCACTCACGGAGCCAGAAGATGGCAGGCTGTCCTCCTGTCGGGGCTCTGCAGAGCCTTTGCCTGGGACGGGATGTGGCGGTAAGGGAGGGCAGTGTGTGTCTGGGAAATGTGACACTGAGACCTCACAGGGAGAGGCACAGAAAGGCTCAAAGCCCAGCAGCCAGGAGACCCGCCCACTGGCTGGCCCAGTGCTTGCCACGCACTCCACGTGACCCTTCCTGCAGTCCTGCACGAGATGCTTGGGAAAGTCCCATTACGTGACAGTCATGTTGATGACCTCCAGAGTTGAATCTGTCCCTGGAGCTGCTCCCAAGATGGGTCGTTCCTGTCACCCAGCATGCTGGAGCTGGAGAGCCCAGGCTGTGGGGTGCGCCACGACCCAGCTCCCAGCACCACTGCCCGTGCGTTTCTGAAGGGCTGGTCCCCAGCAGCTGCCATCAGGGGTACTGAGGTCCCTTGTCTCTGCACTGGGTGGCCGCCTGGGTCTGCTCCCTCCAGCACACTCCCTACAGACCAGGCACAGGCCATGCGGACTGGGCTGTCCTAAGGCTCTTGTGGACGGCCTCAGGAGAGGTCAGCAGTGCCCTTCCTGGTGGCTTAGCAGGCACCCTCGGCTTGCCGCCGTGCAGAGACCTGAAGGGAGCTTGGTGCAGCTTATGTGGTGAGACCTGGTGGTCCTGCCTCGTGCTGAACTCCGAGCCTCCCCGGGTCTCCTGGCCTTGGTGTGTGTTGAACTAAGCGGCCTCTAGGGTGGCCCACGGCAGCCCAAGTGTGGAGAGCAGCACAGGCTGGAAAGAGGACTTGGCACATCCTAAATGGACATGACAGGGGTCTCTG